ACTTAGCTAAAGAGATGTGAAAGCCAGAAAATAGCCCGCAGAGACAGCACGAGGTGTGCCTCTTTTCTTCATTTATGTAGCTTCTTGCTCTTGAAGAATTCTGGGTGGCTTTTCTTGTAAGACTGAACTATAGATTATACTGATAGAAACCTATTTAAAATGCTACAGCACAGAGGAGTGGGAAGACCTATAGATGGCTAAAATATAAAAATTGCCAGATAGCAATGTGATGGACAGAAGGATGATGCGGACAGAGCAGGGGCACAAAGTACCGGGAAGAGAGAGGTTGAAGAAAGAGGGAATGTTGGGTGCTGCAGAGGTCTGGCAAAATTGAGACTGTAAAGACCCCTATCTAGAAGGAAAAAAGCAAACCAACCAAAAAAAAAAAAAAAACAGAAAACAAAAGACAAATCAATGGACTACAAAGGAGACTCCAGGGGACCAGCAGTTAGCGTAATGCCTATGTCATTGGACTCCCACGTAGTCCACCGTGGTTCGCGTCCTGGACCCAGTGGCTTAAACTCACGCCAGGCGCATGTGCGTGCGTGCCCAAGATCCCGAGAGGAGAATGGAGGAGAAGGGATTGTGGCATAGCCATCCCCCCTGGGGGTTGATTTCTCGCTTTCTATCTCTCTGTCTCTGTTTGTCTGTCTGGCGAGCGCATGCACCCAATAGCAAAAACCTCTCAAAAAAAAAAAAAAAATAAGGAGACTCCAGAAACGTTATCAACCAAGATAGTCCAAAGGAGAAGAATCCTCTTTCCAACAAATGGTGCTAGGACAACTGGATATTTACATGTTACCTTTGACTCTTTGACCCTTATACAAAAACGAAAACAAACCAACCTCAAAATGGAGAGTTAAATGTAGGAACAAGAACTATAAAACTTCTATCAATAGAAAACATAGAAGAAATCTTAGTGATTCTGGTAGACTAAGGTTCTTAACTAGAAGAGAAAAAACATGAAATGTTATAAGAAAAAAAATATGCAGGAATTCATCAAAATTAACCCCTTTGTTCTTCATAAGAAAAAAAAAGTGCTACAGTTTAGAGAGGTGGGATAGATGGTTAGGCTATAAATTGCAATATTAGAAAGACCCTGATAGGATCTATTTCAGGGTTATCTTTATTTCTTCGTTTTTAATTTGCTAGAAGGCATGTGTGATTGTTGGGGTTGCACAGAGAAATGTGAGAAAGCACCCCCATGGGGGTATGGTCATGTGCAATCCCTCCCTTCATTGCTCCTTCCAGACTTTTGGGCACATGCACACACTTGTCCCTGACATGTTTTTTCAAACTGCCAGGTCCAGGATGTGAGCTAGTCAGCCAGATAGTTAAGATCCAGCTGCCTTAAACACCACATACCTCACACCCGTCCCCACCCTTTCCCACCCTTTGAGGACACTTGCACTTGCCAAAGAGAGAGGAAGCGAAAACACCCCCAACCCTACCCCAATGGGGCATGGTCATGCTGCAGTATTTTCTTCTGTCTTTCCATCTTGTCAGGAGGCTGGGCAAGCATATGCATGCTTTCAAGCTGCCAGAGTTGGGATTTGAACTGTTACTGGTCATGTGGGAACCTGCTCCTTAACACAGGGCAGGTGTGCTACAGGGCTGGTCCTTTAGGGGTATCTTTTTCTTTTTTTTTTAAAGAGATTTCTGCCTTAAGCTGTGTGTAAGCTGCCTTAACTACCATGCCACTGGCTGACCTGGACTTAAATTTTTTGCACCAAAGTTTCTTGCACCAGACAGTGGGGGAATGACCACTCCACAGTCCCCTCTCTGTTCTCCTCCTGGGATCTTGGGCACACATGCACATGAACCCAGCAGGATTTTCAAACCATCAGGTCCAGAATCGGAACCACAGCCATGTGGGAGTCCAGCTACACAACAACTACACCATCTGCTGGCCCTAGGGGTATTTTTTTTTTTTAAAGAATTTATTTATTTATCTTCAGTTATTATTTTTTAATTTGACCAGAGACAGAGAGAGAAAGGGAAAGTGAGAAAGCAAGCCACCAGGTCCAGGACTCAAACTGGTCAGCCATAGGGGAATCCAGCGCCCTTAACCACCATGCCATCTGCCGGCCCCCCAGGGGTATCTTTTTAAAAGACACTTGTATGCCTAAAATGAAGGATTTCTCCATATCCATTTTTCTTCTTTTAGCTGAGATGTCTTTAGGAATTAAAGATTGAAAAATGAAAGGTGGACTTCTCTGGATGGTCACTTTTATTCTTGATGACTAAATCTGATAACTGAAAGTGGTTACCATAGAGGCCGCCATGTTGTAGGCACCCCGTAAACATAGGGCACATGAAAAGGAATATATGCCTGGAGCCAGCAGGTAGCATGGTGGTTAGGGGTGCTAGATTTCCATATGGCCGACCGCGGTTCGAGTCCAGGATCTGCTGGCTTGCTTTCTTACTCCCCACCCCCACCCGCCCCCTCTCTCTCACTCACTCCTTTCTCTCACTCTGCCCCTGTCTGGTCAAATTAGATAGCTAGCTAGCTAGCTAAAAAGAAAAGAAAAGGAATATGCTTAGTGGCCCAGGATCTGTTTTAGATTGTTGTGCTATAAGTGCAAGTAGGTGAAACTTCTTGCGTGTAGTGGTCTCACACCTGTCTCCTACCAACTGGTCACTGCGCATCTTTTTCTTGGTCCATAGGTTTATTTTGCAGGAGACCAGGTGTCCCTAGAAAACACTTTTTTAAAACCTAGGGTATAACATCTGTTTTGGCTTGCAAATTGACAAAATCTTTAGATTATCTAGTATTTCAACTCCTCATTTAACATTTCAACTCATACCCAGAAAAGTGACTTACCTCAAGGTGAAATTACTGTGTTAATTCATCAGGGACTAGAACACAGGTCTCTGTTCTGTCTGTACTCATCTTTCTGTCTCATTTCTGAAAGGCCAGGAATCAAAACAAGGCAGTGTTTCTGAACTGGTTCAAAATTGTTTTTAAAATTACTAAGGATTCTCAAGTCTATAATTTGATTTAAGATAGTTGCAAGGGGGTCCAGGAGATGGCGTAATGGTTATGTTGCTGGATTCCCACATAGTCGACCACAGTTTGAATCCTGGACCCGGTGTCTTGAAACTCATGTATGTGTGCCCAAGATCCTGAGAAAGACAATGGAGGAGAAGGGATTGCAGCATAGCCATCTTCCAGGGTAGGTGGTGGTGGTGGTGGTGGTGGTGGTTTTTCACTTTCTGTTTCTCTCTGTCTCTTTGGTGAGTGCATGTGCCCTATAGCAATCTCTCTCTCAAAAAAATAATAAATAAAATAAAATAAAATAAAAAAGTGATTATAAAGGGTCTTCAAAAAGTTCCTGGAGAATGTGTATTATGAAAAATTGTGCATGGATTAAAAAAAATTAAGATAATTATTTAATTGAGCCAAGGTGAAGTTGAGACCTGTGTTTTGTTTGTTTTTAATTTTATTCTGTTACAGGGTGCATGCACTCCTCAGAGAAGAGAGGAAGTGAGAAAGTACCCACCATGGGGGATGGTTACACTACAATTCCTTCTCTTCTATTTTTCTTTTGGGATTTTGGGCATAAAGGCACACACCCAGCTTGTTCAAGCTGTCGGGTCTGGGACTTGAACTGCACACCTGGCCATTTGGGATCCAGCTGCCTTAACTACCATGCCACTGGTTGGCCTGGACTTCAAAATTTTTTGCACCAAAATAAACTCATACTTTAATTCTATTTCCCATGACTTTTTTTTTTTATCATCATATCTTCTTCATATTACATTGGATTATATATAACTTTACAGTGTATTACATTGTTTCTTCAAAAGGGAATGCCATGCACGTCAGTCAGTACAGAGACATTAATCTCCCCACTTCAACATTCCATATCTTTTCTGTTTTCCCCAATCATTATCTTTATTATTCTAATTATTTTTATAAAACAGTCAATTGCTATTTCTCGTTTTGCTTGTAAAAATACTTTGCCCATCATGAAACACTTCTCAGACCAATCCAGTTGAGAATTCTATACATGTCATCATCAACAGTTAATAAACCCTATCTGTTTCTCACTGACGTCCTGTCTCTCTATCGCTCACTTGCTATCTTTCTCTATCCTCTTCTCTTCACTTACCCCATTCCACACTGTCCTATTCTCATTAAGTACCTTCACTTCAAGAATGGTAGAGTAGTTCCTGTTCTTCCCTGAGGCAATGCAGGGCTGGTAACCATCATCTTCTCAAGTTGCAAGTTCTCAGACCTTGTTTTCCGCTTCAGCTTGCTGGTCCAAAGGCCACACGCCAGCCCTGGAGAGGCAGCTGAACGCCGGGGCATGAGCCCCGGGTTGCGGGGCCCCCAGGAGGGGGGCCGGTCGACCGGCGGCGCAGCTGCGCGCCGGGGCGTGAGCCCCGGGCCATTGTCCGGTGGCGGGCG